TGTATATTTTTCCCGTTTGCTTGACTATTTGCCGATGCCACGGCAAAAAAGCTGCTACAATGTCCTCTACATGTTATGCTAGGACGGTTTGCGGGCCAATTCCGGTTTCATGTGTACACGCCTAGTACTTACTGACTTACTTACCTAACAATGGAAGACTTGCCATGTAACAAGTAAGTAACAATTTGTTTTCAAAGCATGACACTATCACATCTCAGGCCAAATGTCTTAAAACGAACAGCAAAAATTGTTCCTGAAGTAAAACTCAATTGCTTAAACCTAGCAAATACAGTAAGAAATTTATATTGTAGATGTATCATATCAATCAATAAGTCTCCACTCTGACGCATACATGGCAACGTTGTTGGCAACTTTGATTATGTATGATTTGTTTCACGAAACAAACAATTGTCAATCTCTTAGGTTTGTATGTGTTATTTGATTCTAGACTTAGGTTCAGATTTCACAATGGAGTCTGGTCCCAATGAGGCTAATGATGTATTTAGGGCGAAGGAATTCAACGAGCCGCACATCTGCAAACATCCCGACCTAGATTGCGTTGTTGCTGCTGTGCGTCAGCCGGAGGAGACTTCTGCGTTTTGTTTTGGCAAACTGTGCAGAAATCACAATAGAATTTTCCCGACATATAAATGAGGCGATGTAAGTCTATACGTCGGGTATAGGCAGGGGACGGGTAATGATTGGTTATGGTTTACAGTTAATTTTTGTATTTGCTTCGTGTATTTTATGTAAATTCTCTTCAGGTAGAGATTTTGTCAGATGTGTGACTTTTCAAGTTTCGCTATTTATATACTATAGACTACTATACTTATAGACTACAATTCTTACGCTTCCATAGCATCTCCCTTTTGCCGCTTTCAAGGAAGAGTGAAAGCACAAACACAGAGCTCTATTCTATTAAGATCTTATCTAAATTTTTGTCTACGTGTTACTCTAAGTGTATTGTTTATTGAAAACGGGGCAAAGGGGATAAGTCATGCTAAGGAATCATTACATTCAAATGTATTTTAATAATGATGCTTTGTATTGCTATCAAAGAATCAAAAAAAAAAAAAAAAACAAAAAAAATAAAGTATATATTGCACTCTAATCTGAATCTCGCTGAACATTGGTTGGTTTTTGCTATGGAAAATAGTTCACGGAACATGAGCTAATAGCAGAAAACAAGTGGCATTTGATGTTCGATCAAAGTCGAATATTACGCTTCCTCTTTGCTAATAGTTTGCGATGCTACAGTGGACCCGTTTACCGTTCTTACGCAATTGATGAAAATATATACGAATTTTTGATTTACACTCTTCAATCGATGTGTATATAATACATTGTAAGCAATCGATTAATTACTGAAAGTTGCGATACTTAGCGCCAGTTATTGGATCGATGGACTTTGAATTCCAGTGTCCTTCTAGGTGGTTGCGGACAATCAAAGATGGATTTTTCCCTTTTCAATTCCGGGATAAATGTAAATATAATAATCTTTTTAAATTGCATAAGCTCACAGGCAATAATAAGTTATCGTAGAGATTCCTTGTAACGTCTTTAAAATAACTCGTTACACTGGATGTTTGCTCAAAATGACTCCCTTTTCCTGTTGCGAATTGACAGAAAAGTGAAACACGAATATCCCAGATGTGTCGTTGTTGTTTGTTTAAAATAAATATTGAAAATATTAAGTTTCTAGAAAACGATGAAAATAATTATTCCCCATTACAAGTAAATTAATTAATTACTTAATAATCGTTCCCAATTACGATTAAATTGGTTAATTGGATTACATTCATATAAATAGGACAATTTTTATGTTTGACTATTCTGTTACTACTACTTATTAAACATAGTTAAAACCGGTGCTAAAACGAAAGCAATCGTGACATTTCAAGTGTTGTTTTTATTTACTGCAATAAATAAAGCAAATGGAATCACGTACAGACATAGCAAAGTTAAGCGTAAAATACTTATATAGAATATTAAGAAGAATATATATTGAATGAATTTATAGAAAACCTGGACAATGGAACTTCTCAGTATTATGTGGGATGTAGCCGATGATGAGATGGTCAAGATCGACTTGAAAGTCAAACAAATTAATCGCACAAGCTTTGCTTTGTCTGGTACTGTGGATCTGCGTTACGAATTTAGTGAAAATACGATGGTAAAACGCCGACGCCACGTTTATATACAAACTTGCTTACATATCCACGAACATTAGACGTTAGTAGACACAGCTAAATATATACTTAGTTACAATTTTACAAACACATATTGACAAGTTATATTTATGTGTTATATAACTAAGTATCTATGTATATATTTAGTTGTCTCTGCTATTAGATAATGTTTTTGAGACGATTCAGAATTCCCCTTTACAACATATTTCAAACTGTAGGTCGCTTCACGAAAGCGATTCGTTCTAATTTTGGGAAGGAACATGTTGGAAAACCAACATGTCACGTTCTGTAAATTAATGCTTATGTTCAGTATTATTGGATCTATTATTTGCAGATAAATGTGATAACATACCACAGTCCCTCCGGAAATTCGGACAATTATCGTGAGCTTCCGTATCATCTGTCAGCGAAAGTGTTTGATTGCTTGGACAAGTATTATAAAGAAACTTTTAAAAATTTCTTAAACTGTTCGAACCTCCCCCAAATCGAAACTGAAGCACGTGATTATAAATATCGTCAACTGTATATTATCGACAGATGCACCTTGTCGAACGATGCAGCTCCGAATTATTTACCGGACGGATATTATAAAGTGTTGGTACAACCAAATCGGTGAAACCAATTGGTCTTTGACAGGTCTGTTATACGTGGAATCGATATTAAAGAAATAAACAAATAAAACAACCATGAAATTAAAGCCTAACGAAGATATTTTCGAGTTTAAAAAAAAAATTAATAAAATTATAAAATTTAGTTATTTTACACTAACTAACTCTATTTGGTCGAGAAGTTCGTAAAATTTGTTGAGAGAATAAGTCATTGCAAATAAAGTAGACATGTAGTCTTGATTAGTGTTCTGAATCGATCCAGCCGTTTCCGTCCGTCTATGTGGGTGTATGCTGCTGGCTCTTTCCTTGGAAGTTCTTGCACGCAGCTTGGTATAGAGAATGAGGCAAATGGATCAAAGGGCACGCCCACAGTAAAACTTAAACTGAGATCATCTTTGATTTTTTCTCTTTAGTCATACTTACGATCCCGCTGTAGAAAAATGAAGAAATGTGGCGACCACGCCTCCACAAAGTCAAATCTTCACTTTCTCACTTTCCTTCCAATTACTCATAAGTTGCACAAGATAGAAAGTTGAAAATTTTTCTGTACTTGCTGCACACGAAGACACATTGTCTTTAATTAGATAGAGTTGAACACGCGAACAGATAGAGTTGCTACCGTAATACCATAATTGAGTTGGTTTCTTCTATTCACTACTTTTAAGTTGCAGCGGATATCGTATAGACTTTCTTGTCCCAAAAATGCAGATAAACGAGCATGGCCATCATGTGTATAAGATGTGGCACAACTGAATATATTATTATTATTATACCCGTCACTGTAAGATGGAGGTATACTCACTTTGTTTTTCCCCATAGTGTATGTAACACCCAAAAGGAAATTTCAGAGACGCTATGGAGTATATCTTGATCAGCGTGCAATTCTGAGTTGATTTAGCCATGTCTGTCCGTCTGTGTGCCTGTGTGGTATATGTTGTTGGCACTCCCCTGGACGAAAAGATGACGATATCGACTTCAAACTTAGTAGCAACACTGAAAATTTCTCCACGCAGATCAGCATTGAAAATGGGCCAAATCGGTCGGCGTGGAAGCGCGCGTAGAAGTGTAAACTGAACGCAACTCAGTTTCTTTTAACAGAATTTTGTAGATTTTTGCTCGTTACTTGAAAATTATAAAAGTTAGAAAGCTGAAATTTTTCACATTTACTTTACGAAGCACTCTACTTCTCGTAGGCAAAAATGGAAAACATCCGCCATGCCCACACAAGGTTGCAAGTAATTAAATCTTGTATTTTCACTTTTTAGAGGTTTTTCGCTTGTTTACCATAAGGCAAACAAGATCGAATGTTTAAAACTATTTTGTACATCCCGCAGAAGAAGATAAATCTGCCTAAAAATGGGTTAGTTCTAAAATTAACCCACCGCCTGAAAATGGTGGATTAAATTTCTCTTGATAGTACCAGCGATATGGGAATATAATAAAAGAGCTTGGAGAGTAGAATACGAAAAGCGTAGTGATGAGATTCGGTCTTAAGACATCTAGCATCTAAGAGTGTCGGCTTTATTGAAAATTTAAGCGAACTTGAGATTTGAACCCGCGACCATTGAGTCGTGAATATAATTCTCTTACTTGTTTGTATTTCTTTTCAAAGTTTTGTGCTCCGCACTATGTTCTAAGAAGAAAAATTCTTTGTGACTTGATCAAAAGATGATCACTGATATGTGATTATTTTTTGCAGAGTCAGAATATCAAGAAGTCATGGAAAATCACAAAATCCATTTGACATTTGAATCGACATTTTGACTCTCTCATGACTTGTGATGTTGCTTAAAACACGGTTGTTTGTCTCAATTATATTTCAAGCTTCACTGTTACAAGTCCTTGAGATAGTTAAATGCAATCAGTTATTCTCTTTCTACCATCAAAACTTCTCTTAGAAGCTCTTAAAGGGGAATTGAAAAGATTATCTCTTACTTAAAAGCATTCTCTTAACCCATAAAAAAAAGAAACTGAAGAAATATGTTGATAAAAAATTAAGAGCATTTTAGGAAAACTTCAATGCAGAGAAACTCAAGTGAAGAGAAAAAATTCATTGATATCACATTTTTAAACTTGGCTTTTACCAACAATCAAAGCTGCTAAGCCATGAGTTTTATTTCATATATTCTTGCGTTTATCTTGTCTGTTTAGTTCAAACTTTTTTTTGATTTGATTTGAAAAAAGCTAAAGTTAGGTTCCACTTAACCAACGCGCAAGTGCAAGCGACAGTTTCAGAAAAGTGCTCGTGCGCAAAGCACGCAAAAGCGGTTGTCACTTGATTGAAAAGGCGGTTGTAACCTAAATAAAATTCAAAAACTAAAAATTTAATAACAATAATAATAATAATAATCATAATAACACAAAATTGATCGGAAATAAAATAGATACACGGTGACACAAGGGAAACTTAAATTTGCAAAACACAAACAACAACAAAATTAATTATCTAAGAAAATCTTTTTTAAAAACTCTAAATAAGAAAAATTCAAAAGAAGAAAAGAAAAAAAAAGAAAGGAAAACGAAACTTCAACTTTAAAAGAAAGTTTTCATTGATAAATCTTTCATTGATTAGCGGAACAGGAGAGAGAGAGAGAGAGAGAGATAGAGCGAGAAAATTTCTTCGTTTCGTTACTTAAACATTTTCAACGGCCAATGCAAGGAGGATATTGGGAAAATCTCTTGAGGGAAAAGAAAATTCTTTAAAAATAAAACCCTCTCTTGGCTGAATCTTCTTCACAACGACTATAGCTTGACAATTTGTTTCATTGATTCGTTCAAATTTAGTGCAGGAAACAACAATAAGAAGTAGTAGAAGAAGAAGAAGAAGATCAACAACAACAACAACAACAACAACAATAAAAAAGAAAATCTTTATTAAGAGTGTGTTGCACCTGTTTTAACGTTTTTCGAATCGTTTCTTTCGTTTTCCACAAATTCGTGTTCCACACACCAAAACATTCGACAGCAGCAGCAGAAGCAGAAGCAGCAGCAGCAGCACTAAATATTTGCAGTTATTCAGCCTATTAAAAAAAAATTAAACAAAATAAATTGTTTTTCAATATTTTCATTTGCCTGCACGATATCACGAGATCACAAAGCACACACCATCTACGTACTGTCGTTTTTTCATATCCAAGTGTTGTAATCTGCCAACACGTACATATTTTCTTGTTACACTTGCACCGTAATTCGATTTGGAAATCTTTAGCGCACAAGAAAAAGCAAAAAAAAATAAAAAAAAAAAAAAAAAAACAAAAGGCAAGCAAGCAACAACAACAACAACATCACAAATAATAATAAAATATAATAATTGCAATAGAGAGTGAATTGAAAGAATTAGCAAAGAAAACAAAGTGGAAAGAAAAACAAAAGAAAAATTTTTCAAACGGTGTGAAACTATATTTTGATAGTGTGTGTGTATGTGTGCGTTTAAGTGTGTATGTACGTGTATGCTTGGAGTTTTCGCATGAACTTAATTTTTGGTTTGTTTTTTTTTTGCGCTTTTGTTTTTGATTTGTTACCATATTTTCGCGCGTGTATGTGTGTGTGTTTGCGTATGTAATTGTGTATAATTTCATCACTGTGTTGTAACGATTCCATCCACACATTATAACAGCGATTACATTATAAAATGGATCTAAAGCAACGAGGATTTCCATTATTATGGTTAATTGGATTATTCTGTGTGATTTTCAATGCAGGTGAGTAGGAAAAGTCATTTATTGTAAATGAAGTGAAAACAAAACTTATTTCCAATTATTTAGGAAAAGAAAAGAAAAAAAAAAAAATTTGTTTTGCTTTAAACAAGTGCTCGCCCCTTGGAAAAAACAAAATATTTTCTATTGCAGAATATCATTGATAGAGTAGCTGTTGATTTTAATAGCTAGCAGACGCAAGGGCTGTAAGACAGATTTTGCTGAGTGAAAGAGCAAAAATTTTTTTCGATGGGCAGAGGGAAAAAAAGAGGAAAAATAATAATAATAAAAAATTTGATTAAGCAAACAAAAACTCAAATCGTTTTATCTAAACTAATTGGGTTCAGTTGTCAATAAGGTTTGACCATACTATAGAAAGTGTTCATTCGATAAAATCGTAATGCTTGGACAGTTGGACACACAGCGGTCGCAGCTACAGCAGAAACAATCATGTTCACAGAGCAAGCAATCTGTACAGAATATGATTTAGGACTAATACAACCACTACCGCTGCAACTTCCCTCTAATAATCTGTGTATTGAAGGACCATTTTCGACTACTATGTCAGTAAATTCCTTTTTAAACATGAAAAGGACATCTAGAGAGGTGTTTCCTTTTCAAAACAGGATATTCTTCAAATCTTTCTAAGCTATCAACCAAAGTATCAACGATCATGAAACGTTTCAAGAAGCATCGAGTGGATACATTTATTACAATCGATTGTCTTTCTTCTTTTTATTCTCTTAGGTACTCTGTTAATTATTTGCGTTTCGTTCATATGATTCGAGAAATATGTTGAACATTTTGGTTGCTTTGAAATTTTGAAATAAGTGTTTTTTGGGAATTTTCACGTTTTCAGCAAAAATCATTTGAGAAATCACGATTTCGTCATGTAAAAAATGTCAAAGTTAATTACCATAAAGTCGTGATTGCATTGATATCACCTTGAAATCGATTAGTGTACCTTTCTGCTTTTGCGTAAATTATTGCTTAATTTGTCAGCAACTGAAACTTGTATGCTGCCAACTTAATATTTTTGCCTTTCTTACGGTTTATTTCATATGTAAACATATGTTTTTATGTAAGCAATTATGTTAATGCCTTGGTAAAGGACGAGCAAATCAATCTCTTATAGTCTTTAAATGCTATATAAGTGTGTTTAAATGAAGTCACTCGAAGAAATTACGGGAAATGGCATAGAAAACATTTGCTTCCCAAGCCCAATATGGATTGCTATGAATTTCAAGCGATTTTCTTTGGTGCGACGAAGTCGAAGATAAAGGCACAGTACAAAACTCTTCCAACTAATTGTTTTTATTTATTAAATTATATTCCATGAAAAAGTGTTCAACTATTTACCCTACGATCTTAATCACTATCGTTATACATGGGCTGTGTTGAATTTTTTTGCGGGACAAGTCTCCTACAAAGATAAAAGAGGTTTCTTTTAACGAAACTCCTGCACTTTCTCAGTATTGCTTCCTCTTTCCTCTCTCCGCTACCCACGTAATACTTTCTGGTAACCACGGCGCTCTAAGAACCTAGCAAACTGAAAAAAAAATGATGAAAAAATCGTTGAATGTACTCAAAAGCCTTCTTAAAGCCTCCTTTCTCTTTGCAACACACTAATCAAGTTCTTTTCTTGCAAAACAAATTCTAAGGATTAGACAATTAATATAAAAATATTTTGAGAAACATTATATGTTTATTTCGATAGCACAGTTTATTATTATAAATATTTCATTTTGACTAAACGCTACCTAAAATGGAAATGAGATCATTCTTGAGGCTTGTTTAACTTCAAATATAACTTTCATTATAACGTAGAGAAATATCTTAAAAAATTTTTATACAATTTATTAAAAATTAGTTGAAGTATTTTATTAACTCATCTTAGAATATAATAAAATAATAAACAATATCTTTTAATATATATAAATATATATATGTATTAATATATATATATATATATATATATATATATAGTATTTTAATATTTATAAATTTCGCCTTAAAACTTGATAGAATAGCTTTCACTATTTTATTTATCTTTATGTTTATATCGTTAAGTTGCGTCTTTATTTCTACCCAATACTTAAAAATAGTGCGATAGTAGTTCTCTCATAACATTTCCGAAATGTATATTAGATATTCTTTGGACACGCCTTAGTTAAAGCTATAATCATCTTCCTTTCATTCATCTCTTGTTAATTACTCTCTTGTGTGACGAAAGTAGGTTTTTGTGATCCGTATGTCGAAAGGATCTAAGAGTATTAGAAAATGAAGGAAAACAAAAACTTTTACATATTGTTTCAATTCCTGCTTCCACACTTCGTCGTCCTGCCATAAGTTTTGGACATTCATAGCGCGAGACTTTTTCATTGAACGATTTTACTTACTTTGACTTGATGACACCTTGGTTTTGAATAAAAAATTCATGTAACTTGCAAATCTTCGTAGTTTGATAGAATAAGATTGTAAGCAAAGTTCGTTGATTATTCCAATCTTTTCCCTAAGGAACTTACCACGTCTCTTCACTATATGAATGAATTCATGACTGCCCCATACGAGTTGATTAAATTCGTCTTGTAAACCTTAAAACGAACCAAATGGTAGTAAATTTTCTTGATGACCATTCTGTACTTGGTTAAAGTGAAGTTGCATTATTAAACACATCAACCAAATTGAGTATATACCGAGTATATAGAGGATATATAAAATTTTTCAAGCGTTTGGAACGTATTGAAACCTTATAAACGACAACACTGCAAATAAAAACTCAAGTGAATTTTTCATTTAATCTACGCGGGTACTATAAAAGGGTGAACCAATTTTTTTGGTGGGTTATTGGTGGCTTCCTCCTCCTTCACGTACATTTTCGTGTCAACGTATTCAAACGCGACAGAGTTATGCGTTCTTTTGCAACGTGAGCTGTTCGATTTTTACCATGTCTGTGAAACAACGATTTATGAATTTTAGGACGTCCTGCGGCGCATTGCTATTGAAGATAAGACTATGCATCTATGCATTCAACTCGAAAACAACCGACCATTGAAGCGAATATCGTGGAAAAAGTAAACGCATGACGAGCCGAAAAGCCCTCCGAAAGTTGTTCAAAACTATTTTTGTAAACAGGTGAATTTATTCCTTTGGATGGACCGTGTTATTTCAAAATCGGGTAAAAAAAGAATTGGATACATATATATATCTCCGATTGTCACGGTATCTTACATTATCAATTTCTCACGCCAGTCCATTGAACATGGCCATGGATGAAGACAATGAAAACGATGAAGGCGATGGAATTTTATATGCGTATACGCGAGAATACACATTTTTCATTTCATAGGTAAATTCATCTTATTTGATCACTGATCACGCCCGTACATCTTTTTAATGAACCTGAAGAGCATGAAGAGAATTTTTTATATTATAAACATTATGTTTGCTTTGCGTCCGAATCCCATTTTCTTTCAACCAAAAAATTATTTTTTTTTACTTTCTTCCTTAAATTAATGCTTAAACATTGTTAAAGTCTTGTGCTTTAAATTTTCAGCTTGATCTCATATATTTTATTAAGAACATTACAGAGTCAAGTTGAACAGTCGGCTAGGATAGGCTTAAAGGCTTCCTTCTCATAACCAGAAAGGAATTCCATAAACGCGATCTCTCGTTTGCATACACACACATGAGGTGCTGCCAAGGTCTATGAAAATTTAGTTTGAATTATATATGCGATGCATGATATACTATACGATATATCTTTTTCGGTCTATCCTGCAATCAGTAGCCACGAAATATGGTTATTGTGACCGCGACCGATAATCGCATTGGTTTTGTTTTGTTTCTTTTTTCACTAGTTACCGCGTATCGCATAAAACGAAAGTGAAGTAAATAAAAAACAAGCGATAAACATAAAACTTTTAAATGCGATAATGATTTCAATGCCACTAATGCATCGTCATTATCAACATCTTCATAATCATCAAGTGTGCGTACAAGTTAAAGATGAAAAGAAAATAAGTCTAATCGTATATATGTTCGATAATTGAGGTAAAATAAGTTCGAACAACAACTAGAGAGTTTGAAATGAGCCAACAAACGTACACGAAAAAGTTTTAATGAAAACACTTTTCTTGAAATGAGTGAATAGATCCGTAGTTAAATGAGTTAATAAATGAAGCAAAATGAGTTGAAAATTTGTTAAGTTAAAAAAGCAAAAAAAACACAGCTTTTTTTGAATGAAACCGAATTAATTAGTAAAGTTTATTGACTTTTTCTTCGAGAGGAATACGCCTTTTTTCAGTTGACTGCTTAAAACTACTATCGTTATTATAACGTAATCTTTCTTTATTTCTATTTAATTAAAATGAATGATAATCTTTCAATTATGTTAATTTATTAATCTTTTAATTTCAATAAAGATGAGAATGTTGTTAGTTTAACGCTCGAAATGTCATAAATTAAACACTTGCGCAGAGAGATTGCCTGCCATAGCATCGTTGATTCGGAAGTACTTGTTATGGTAAACATTTGTTAATAAATAACATTTACATACTTGTGAATAAGTTTTACTTCATTGTTCATGCAACGATTTCGTTTTGTTTATTTATTTATTTATTTATTATTATATTTTTTTTTTTTGAAGCAAGGAATAAAAATCTTAACGCGTGTGACGTTTTGAAAAGATTAAGGTGTGAATTATTAACGAACGTGTAGTGAACTTCGGTTGGCTTCGTACAAGTTTTGTGCATGCGTGCACTTGCTCTTTGATCTTTTTTTGCTTTTATTTGTTAACAATCATTTATTTACTTATCTGTTTATTAATTTTTATTTATTCATTTATTTATTTATTTATTTTTTTCTCTTTATTTACATCTATGTTTTTGTTTGTCAACTCATAGCTGAATTTGTTTTGGGAGCAACCAAAAGATTGTGTGACTATTGTAAGCTTATTTTTCAAATTCTCTAAATATAATAGAAAAAGAAAGAAACAAAAACACCAC